TCAGGAGGACTGTGGTTAGAAGCCAGTCCAGGTCAAAAAAGTTCCTAAGACCCCATCTTAATCAATAAAAGCTGGGCATGGTGGTACACACCTGTCATTCTGGATACAAAATAAGTGTAAATAGGAGGATTGCAGCTCAGGTTGGCCCAGAGATAACTATGAGACCCTATTTTAAAAAATAGCTAAAGCAACAGGGCTTGGACATGACTCAAGTGGTACAGCACATGGCCTTGAGTTCAAACTCCAGAAACAAACAACCCAAAACAGTTCTGTGCTTGAGCTGGGCATCATGGCATCAACTTTAGTCCCAGCTACTTGGGAGGATGTGACACAGAAGATCACTGGAACCCAGGAGTTCAAGGCCAGCCTAGGCAACATGGGGAGACCTTGTGTCCTTAAAAAACAAAAAAATCCATGCTTACCACACAAATTCAAAATATAGAGAAAGAGTATAAAAATGCTCATCTATAATATCACCCAAAGATAACTATTGTTAATATTTTTATGCATATTAACTATGCATATGTATATATGCAAATCTGTTTATAGATCTATATAATGTATATATGTATGTATCTGTATATGTCTCACTGTTTTTATTTTTAAAATAAAAGTGGAATCCTGTTTAACATAGCACTTTTTTTTCTGTAATAGTAATTTTTTAAAACTTAGAAATAGATCATGTATACCTTTTCATGTCTCTCAGTAAATGCTCCCCTCTTTCACACTGCTTTAGTTTCAGTCCTCATTATCTGACACCCAGTCTGTGCTATTGATTCTCATTTTTTTCTACTATTAGTCTTTTTACCCCCAGTCATTCCTGTATAGACTCTCAGAATAGTCATTCTAAAATGAAATTTTTGGCAAAGTGTATGAACTCACAACTCTGAGGAAACAAAAGCTATAAATAAACATAAGGGAAGAAGAAATATAAAATATTTCCCAACTAAATTAACATGACTTTTTGAATGGTAGTAAAACTTTTTTAAGGAGTGGTATATTTCAAAATACTTTTAAAAACTGCACATTAGTTGACTGATATAAGGAATATTTTATCCTTAAAGATATGGGTAAAAATTTTGCCATAAGGATTTTATTGTAGCATTTGTTTATTATTCTCAAAAAACGTGTTGAGATAACCTAAATGCACTTTTTGTTCATGAACCTTGATGGCATTAAGTGAACATAAAATTGGGTTAGAAATTATACACACACATTTTCATTAGCATATATTCATTGTGACAATTCAGAATAACCTATAGACCCCCCCCATCATCTCCCCCCTCAACCCCCTCCCCACCCCAGTTAAAGCATATCCCCTCACCTTCATCTCCTCCATTCCCCCTCCCCCTCCCACAAGTACTCCCCCGCTATACCTATTTTACAGTCCTGCCTTTCATCTTTAATTCCAAAGTCAGTGTTCAAAGGGGTTTCTCAGTGTATCCCATCTGTGAATATACTTTACTTTGGTCAGTTCAGCCCCGTGTTACTTTCCCTTACCCTTTCCCTCCTACTCCCTTTTATTCAACAGCTTTCAGTACATATGGCCATGTCCTCTACCTGCACAGATGTAATGTATATGGATTGTTGATTCTCTATCCTTTTTTCCTTTCTCTCCTTCTCCCAAGTTCCACAGAGTATTTCCACTATTACAAGCATGTTCTGCATATAAGTATGTATATGATCATGTATATTTTTGTGTATACATTTACCTTTTGGCTCTATGTTCCACATATGAGAGAAAACATGTGACCTTTGTCTTTCTGAACCTTGCTTGCCTCACTTAACATGATGTCTCCGATTCCATCTATTTACCTGCAAACGATAATTTCATTCTTCCTTATGGCTAAATAAAACACCATTTTGTATGTGTGTGTATGTGTGTATTAATCCATTTATCAGTTGTAGGGATTTGGGTTGTTTCCATAACTTGGCTGTTGTGAACAGACACAAGTTTATGTGTTTGTGAGTGTATATATACAACATGCCTAGAATGTTAATAGTATAATACATCAGGGGTAAGATTGTGTATAGCTTTTTTTCATCATTTTGCTGCTACTTCAGATTTTCTTACCTCATATCTAATAAGAAAAATAAGTCTAAAATTTGTTTAAAAACAAGTCTGAAATATATTCTCATGTATCTCAAGTAACAATGTAAAATATGGAATCGTTTTAGAATGCATTTGTCAAAGGCTGGGGAAATAGCTCAGTGACAGAGTACTTGCCTAGCATGTGCAAGGCCCTGGGTTTGATTCCCCAGCCCAGTAAAACAATAATAATAACAAAAATTATAGGAAAGCATTTGGCAGTATCTATTCAGAGCCATAAAATATTATAATCACTGACCCAGTAATTCCATTTCTGGGCCATGTATATGGAAGAAATAAATTTATAAAATCCTTACTTGGAATGTTCTATGTCTTAATCTTCAAAGATTTCCAAGGCTAAATAACAATGAGACCTCTTACAATTGCTGAAGTGGGGTGGGGAGGGGATCAAGGGGGTGAGACAGTGGGGGTGATCTAACCAATGTACAATATAAACCTATTTGGAATTGTCACAAGAATACCCCCTGTACAATGAATATATATCCTAATAATTTGTTTTTAAAAAAGGATAGGGAGCTTTTGTTAGGAGAGGAATTATTTGCAAACCACAGCAGCTCAACAAACAGAAAATCTACTAAAAAAAAGAATATGAGGTAAATATAAAATTTCAACTGTAGGGAAATTAATAGATAGTTTATGGGTCATACACTACAGTAATAAGAATAATAGTTATAAAGTTTAGAATTTACGTAAGGAAAACCTCATGTTAACTGATAAAATTAAATATAAAATTTCCTGTACAACAAAATTACAATATAAACAGGTATGAACATGGAAATTTAGATTGTGAGTCATTTTTGAGTCTTATTTTCTAAATTTTTAATAACAATTATTAAAAATAAAAATTGAGGAAAAATATTTACATGACTTTAAAATCCTTTAATGATACTCTCTTTCCCCCATTATCACCAAGTAAAATCTTTAATAATTTCTACCTCACATCCTGGCTCAGGCCATAGTGAAAACTTGCGGCTTATCCTATTCTATGCTATTGGGTTTATTTATTTATTTTTTTTTAGGTAGTACTGGGGCTTCACACTTGCTAGGCAGGCACTCCACCACTTGAGCTACTCCACCAGCCCTATGCTCTTGTTCTTGCCATTCCCTTTGCCTGTAATTCCCTTTCCATCTTTGCCTGTGAACAAGTGAACTTCTACCCTTGAAAACTCTGCCATGCCTTTCTCATACTCCCAAGGGTAAAATCCATTCGTTCTTGCTGCTCCCTGAGATTCATTCATTCAAAACAGAAACCATCATGTGTTCATTGGGTGCCAGTCACTGGGTGGAAAGTGTAGGGAAGATCATTAAAAGCAAAGTTCGTTTTGTTTTTTGTTGTTGTTATTGTTGTTTTAAGACAGAGTCTGGCCATATAGCCCAGGCTTGCTTTGAACTCATGATCCTCCTGAGTGCTAGTGTTACAGGCATGCACCACCATGCCCAGCTTGAAAACAAATTTAAATAATTCTTTTCTTACTCCCCTATTATTGTATTAGTCTGTAAGCTTATGGACAACAAAAACTGTATCATTTGCCTTTGTTGTCACAGGTCCTACACAATACCAAATGCAAGGCAAAGGGTACCTGGTAAGATTCAAATGAGTGTCTGAATATACTCGTAGTACCTATTGAGACATTTTCTTAAAATGTCAGTATTATATCAAATTTAGGGTGGGAAAAATCTTAAAACCAGTGTGAAATATGAATGTGACATATTTATAACCTGAGACCCAAACTCCCCACTTTAGAATTTAGTCCATTACTATGTTTTTTCTGTGCTCTAGCTACCTACTAGCTAGAGGAGAGTAGAGATAAGGCATAGTCTCTCCTATCAAGAAGCTTACACTATACAGATATGTAGTGTATCAGGAAGATACAGACATTGTACCTTCCTGAGTAGGAACAATGAGGGAATAAAATTGTAGTGGGAAAATAGTTTTTCAAGATTTTTATATAGTACAATTTTTTTCTTTCTTGCTCTTCCTTTAGTTTTTGCCTTTTCATTAATGTGTTATTCAGCTGTGTATGTGCTGTTACTAAAACCCTAAATATATGTACAAAAACAAACTCAACAAAGAAGAATGTTTAAAATTGTATTTTAAAGGGCCAGGTATAGTGATACATAATAGCACTTAGGTGGCTAAGGCAGGAGGATTGTGAGTTTGAGGCCAACCTAGACTACATAGACAGTTCAAGGGTAGACTGGGCTACATGGTGAGACCCTGTCTCAAAAAAAAACTTATGTTTTAAGAAAGTTGCTATTATATGTCTTTTTGGTTCACAAACAAGAGAAAAGTTTATAGATAATATATGTGACTAGTAAATTATATTCATAACTCTGCTATCTGTTGTAATTGCTAGATTGCTAAATATCACTTATGGACTATGGAAGATACTTATGGAAATTTTTTCTCAGTTCCCTACCTCTTCTCAGCCTTTTTCTTTGAATGCTGTGTGTGTCTAATAAATCTAGGAAGGTGGAGGCAGTGGATGGGAAGTTATACCCCATGGGAGGAAAAACAGGAGGTTTTGTAAAGTCATCTCAGCTACATGGAAGACATAGGTAGAAAGACTACTGTCCAGGCAGCCCTGACCCAAAAAAACAACAACAGCAACAACAAAAAACCCCACAAGACCACACCTAAAAAAATAACTAAAGCAAGAAGAACTGGGGTTGAGGGGGGTGTCAAGTGGTTGAGTACCTGCCTAGCAAGCCTTGAATTCAAACAGTATTGCAAAAAAAAAAAAAAAATGTGGTTCTCAGGAATTCATGAAATTCTATACTTTCTAATATCTATACCTTTGAGAATTCAACTGTATAATTGGTATATTTTAAAATAACTCAGTTTTTTATCTTATGCCTTGTTATTTTCACCTCCTGAATGTCTTACTAGGTATATGTAGTTGCTATGAATATTAAAAAGGAAGCAGAGTCAAAACCAAAAAGAGCAGTTAAAAATACTGATGAGGACGACGACGACGAGGGTGGTACTACAGATGAGCTACCGCCAGATAGTCTAATAACACTGGTACAACCTGAACTGCCAACACTTAGCCGCCTATGGTTGGCAGCATTGAAAGACTATGCACTTTTGACTTTACCAGCTGAGTTTTCTAGTCAGCTCCCTCCAGATGGTAAGTATTACACTCATAACTTTTCTTTCTTGGAGTTCATAGTAGTAATTGAAACAAAAATGGGCTTGGCACCCACAATAACAGTAATGACATTAAAATTTTTTTAGAGTTAGACTTGACATTGTTTCATTTAGAGCCTGTACTATATATTGAATTTGTGGATTCAAGATACTACAGAAGAAAGCTTTTTGTTAGCAGAAGCAAAAATGTTAGTATCATTATAGTAATAGCTCTGTGAGTGAGGGTACTCTAAGTAAGTATGAATAACAAGTCAATATGCATAACCATAATGAATTATACTGCTATACTGGTCATTGTATATCTTTTCATAGAAATCCTAGTCTTCAAATGAATTGTGTTCCTAAAGTCCTTTACAAATTGTTTGTACTTTAGTTTTCCTATTGAAATCAATATAGACATCTTCGTGAACATTGTTCCTGTTTGGAATACGTGTTGTAGTTTGTACTTAACTTACTCTTTTCCCATATAATAATGATAACAATAATGGAGTTCTTTCTTATTCTTCATTAATCCAACATGACAGCAAGGAGAAAGGAGGAAATCCTAGTGTTGGTAGTGAAAACAGGAGGTGGGGAGGAATAGCAGAAGAGAAAAACAGAAAGAAGAGACAGACTCCCTGGTTGTGATAAAAAGAGAGGTAACAATGAGGAGGTAAATCCTGTGACTACAGAGTAGGAAAAGGTAACGATACTTAGTGACACCAGCACTGAAGAGGAAAGGTGCAAAGTTAGCATCAGTGAGAGAGAGACCGCAGCTGCTGAAACTGGTTGGTTTGGGAAGGAGCTTATTGGCCAGATTGCTCTTTTGTATGAGAAAGGTAGTTTTAAGTTAGTTGTTTATAAATGAGTGAGCACCTGTAACAGAAACGTAATGTTTTTATTGATTTGATTGTTTTATAGGTGGAGCATTTTATACTCCTGAGACTATTGATACAGCTAGACTTCACTATCGGAATTCGTGGGCCCCAGTTCTCCATGCAGTGGCACTTTGGTTAAACAGTACAGGATTTACCTGCTCAGAGTCCACAGAAGCAGCTGCAGCATCTGGTTTACAGAAACGTTCTGCAGCTGTCAGTTTAAACCAAGCATCAGGAGCAATGGGAAGTGCTAAATCATTGCCAGAAATTAACAAAGACAGAATGCATCTTATTTTAGGTAAGATGTTATACTAATGTATTTCAAGATGTATCACTTCTGAGAGCTCTTATCCTTCATTTTAATGCTATGGAAAAATTTTGTATAGCTCAATTCAGAGGAAGAATAATAAAAGGATTCTTCAGCTCTACTTATAACTGAATTTTTTATGTAAAAGTTAAATTATTTAAAACTACTCTGTCATGTTCATTTACAGAGCAATGATGAATAGTTTTCAAGGAAAAAATCTATGCTTTTTATTCAACATTAGGTTTACTTTTTACTTGGCACTTTACAAATTGTCCCATGAAGAAAACAAGTTTAATGAAGCTTGAATCCTAATTTATTTGCTTTCTAAATGCTGATGTTCTTCTAACATTTAAGAATTAATATAGTCTAAAGAAATTTTTAATGATTTCATATTTTCTGGGCGTGAAAAGCAACATAATTGGTAAGGTGTAATTATAAAATTAATCTGCAGTCATCATAAATATAACAATGTGAAATATAAAAAACTTCTAAAACCTTAGCCTTATACATATTAAGAGCAGCTGTTACCCATGATATCCATTGTACTTCTATAGCTTGACATTACAAAAACTTTGTATTTGTAGAAAACTGGCAGCCATTTAATGTAAAGTAATATTATAGTGTTCATTAATTTATTCTTTTTTTTTTATTGGCACTGGGGTTTGAACTTAGGGTTTCCCACTTCAAAGCATGTGCCCTACTGCTTTGCCACATCTCCAGTCCATTTTACTCTGGTTCTTTTGGAGATGGGGTCTAGTGAGCTATTGGCCCCATGCTGGCCTCAAACTGAGATCCTCCTGATCTCAGCCTCCCAAGAAGCTAAGATTGCAGACATGAGCCACTGGCACATGGCTAATTTATTCTTAATGTACTATAATTTTTTGAAGTCCTAGAAATAGAAAAGTTAATATCTTCATAATCAGCCTAATGGCATTGGAAATCTTTCCCTTCTGCCCCTCCCATACTTAATTTGAATATTAACTTAATTTCAAAGTTACAACCTTATGTTGAGTTTGGCTGTTTAGCTTAGAAACAATTTTGAACTTTTAAGTAATTAAAAAATACATGTTAAAGGAATCTGAAAAAATAGAGAAAAATATGGTATCAAACAACATAAACTGTCTTATGTTGAAAACCCATGGTCTTATTTTATGCATTTCAGGTGTCAGTATACAGTTTCTTTGCTCCCCTAGACCTGAGGAACCTGTTGAGCATGTTACAGCATGCCTGCAGGCCTTGCATACCTTGTTAGAGTCTCCTTATGCACGAATCCATATTGCAGAAGATCAGGTACAGTGTATTTCTATAATAGATAATTGTATGCTTTGTCCTAGTCATATTACCTTAGGATGGTTGCCTCACATAGGAAACAAATGTTGTATAATAATTTCTAACAATATTATGTATTCCGTTATTTTGTCTCTATTGCCTTTTTTTTAGGGGGGGGGGCATTACTTGGGTTTGAATTCAAGACCTCATACTTGCTAAGCAGGTGCTCTTCCACTTGAGCCATGTTCCAAACCCCAGCCCTTTTTGCTTTTAGTTTATTTTTTAGGTAGGGTTTCATGCTTCTGCCTGTGGCCAGCCTTACCCTACAGTCCTATCTATGCTTCCCGTGTAGCTGGGACCACAGGTGAGTGCCACCACACATGGCTTATTTTGTTGGGATAGGGGTCTCACTAACTAATTTATGAGGCTGGCCTGAAACCATGATTCTTCCATCTCAGCCTCCTGCATAGCTGGGATATGCCTGTGCCACTAAGCCCACTTGGCCTCTCTGTTGACTCATAGATGACCAGGCAGAGCTAGATTACAAATAGTCTTTATACCTTTGATTTGTTTATCGGCAATCAAATAAAACTAAAAATTTAAGAGACCTTCAGTAGTAGTCAATAGTACTACTAATAAAGTATTAAAGTAACTTGAAAGACTATTAAAGAAATTATGCCATTTTCAAATATTTGATAAAATATTATTTACCATTTAATGAAAAATTTTCATGAGATCAATTACTCATATAAAGTTTAATGAATTACTTTTTCTAATTTCTGTATAGAATGTTTATTCATGTTACAGAAACAAGCTACCACTGGTTTGATACTGTTTTTAATTAGGAATTTTATTTTTCTCTCTTTTGACACCACCACTACCACATGGTATCACTTGGGGGTATTTTCATAAAACACAAACAGATAAAATACTAGGTGGATATAATTTTATTATATAAAATTAGTATGGCATATGATACTACCCAGAAGCAAAATAAAACAAAACATATGCTATAATTATAAGACTCACTCACTAATTAACTCTTGTTTTTACCCAACCTTATGGCCTGAAGCTGTGCCTCAGCTAAACTATAAATGGATACAAGAATCTTCAGAAATGTTTTCATGTAGTTAAATATATAAGATTTAATATGAATAAAAAGAGACTACTACATATAAACTCAATTATTTGGGTTTTAACATAGTATCTTACTAGGCTAGCTATATTTTGGACTTAGTAATATTCAAGTATTGTTTTATAATGGGAAAAATGGATGTACTTTTTTTCTGAGTTGGATCCTATCATTTCAACATTGTTGGGGTGCATGACTCATATGTAGTCATTCACCCACTTACTTTTACTCTTTGTTTCTTTGCTTCAGACATTTTGAGACACAATATGTGTCTTCTGCTTTAGACACATAATATAATATAATATAATATAATATAATATAATATAATATAATATAATATAATATATATAATTACTTTCCACTCTCTGTCTTAGGAGAGAGTGTGATATATGCTATGTTAATATATAAGCATAAACTGACAATAGAGATGGGGAGCCACCAATATTATGATTGTAAAGGATGATTTATCAGAGAGGACACAGTTGAATCAATCTTAAAGAAAAAATCTTAGAAAGAACAATAGACACAAAAACTAGGATATATGAGAGAACATCAGCAATTCATGGACACTGCAGTCATTTACTATTGCTGATAAGGAACAGGTATTGGTTATTAGATGAGGCTAGATGACTGGGCAAAGGCCATATCATAAAGATTTCTTTCAGCATGTAAAGGAATTTGAACTCTATCCTGAAACTTATAAGAAATTATTTTTTAAATGTTTAAATAGAAGAATCACATGATTCAGAAAAATCACACCAGGGTTGAGGATGTAGCTCAGTGGTAGAGTACTTTTATAACATGCTCAAGGCCCTAGGTTTGATCCTTAGCACCACAATAAACAAACAAATATTTAGAAAAATAAATAAAAATAGATCCGCAAGGATCACACTATTAGCCTTGTAGAGGCCAGTTGTGAGATTCTTTTCCTAATTCCAGGGAAATAATGAGTATGCTAGCTTAGAAAAATTGAATAAAGAAAGGAGAGTGCCAAGATTGGAGCTTTGAGGACAAATAGCATTTAAGGATTGAGAAGAGGGAACCACATCAGCAATGGAGACTATTAGAAAGGTAGGAGGAGAACCAAAAGAGAACAGTGTTGTCAAAGACAAGGGAGATGTTTCAAGAAAGGTAGATAAGAGCATTGAAAGACAGTGCAGGGCTGGAGGCACGGCTCAAGTGGTAGAGTGCCTGCCTAGCAAGCATGAAGCCCTGAGTTCAAACTCCAGTGTGGCAAAAAAAAATAAAATAAAAAGCATGAAGCCCTGAGTTCAAACTCCAGTGTGGCAAAAAAAAATAAAATAAAATAAAAAAGAAACAACGCGGTAAATAAGGACAAAAGGAATCCAAAGGAGGTTTTTAGTGACTTCCTCTGGAGGATTTTCTTGGATGGGTAGAAGACAGACTTTAGAAGATCAGAGAGTGAATGAGGAAGAGAAGTGGAAGCACATAGGCTTGGAAAGGAAGGAGTAACATGGTGGTAGAAAAAAAGAAGTAAGAAACTATTGTGGGGGTGTTAGATGCGAAAGTTTTGAGCATTTTCCTTATACTGTAAGAGTAGCCTAACTAGAAAGGGGCTAAAGATAAATGGGGCATGATTGAGGTCCTTGAAGAATCCCTGGGATGGAGAGGGAGAACCTGAGAAAAGATAAACCAGCCTTGGATAAGAGGCTGGACACTTGACCTTAAAGGAAGAGGTAAAGATGGCTTTATTTGCAGTTAAGTTTTATTACCTTCTTTTAAATTTGAGATAAGCTCATTGGTTAGAGCAGATGTGGAAGACTGTGTATGAGAGTCTTAAAATAAGAGTTTGTAATGGTTGTGGAGGAGAGAAGGACTTGCCAGAAATTCCTGTCATCTTTGGTAGACAGCTCTCAGCTACTGAGCTTAGATTTGGAAATTACAAATTTTAGTGCCGCTCAACTCTAGCAAGATCATTTAGCTCAGTTATTTCTTTCTAATGGGAAAATGATCATCTTTGAATATAAAGCTAATTTAAATTCATAAATGCTACAAAGTCATCTGTTGCTTGAAAATCTGTTAGGATAAAATATAACCATTTCTCAAGTTTGTTATAATGTTCTTCATTTGTTACATGTTCCTATATGTTAATTTTAATTATAAAATGTACATTTTCACATGTGTATTTTCTCATTTTTTAATAATATATCTTTATCCTTTTAAAATTAAAAATAATTATGTGTGTTTATACTAATTTATAATAGCTGATTGGTGTTGAGTTGCTGAGTGTCTTGCACCGCCTCCTACTGACCTGGAACCCATCATCCATTCAGTTGTTGGTTACTGGAGTTGTACAACAGATAGTAAGAGCTGCTCAGGATTATTTGCAGGAAAAAAGAAACACTCTGAGTAAGCACTAACGTGAAGCAAATCTTATTTTTACTCTAATTTAAAAAATATTAATGCCAGGAAGTTTTTAGTAAAAAACATAATCATATATTTAGAAGCCTTGAAATTGATTTTGCTTTCATTAGAAAGGACTAATGGAAATTGGTGAGTCAAGTATTTTTCTCTTTTGAAGGTATCAGTTTCACCTAGTTCATCCTAGCATATGTTATTCCTCTTATGAACTACATACCTAATAAAATGCCTAATAAACATTTGCCAAGTAGAAAATGAATTGTCCATTGCTTTGAAAAAGAAATCAATGCACAGAATTCTAGTAAGGCAGAGGATTATGCTGAGAAAGACGTGTAGTATCATTTAGACATTTACTTAGAAATCCTTTTGAAAGTACTTCCTAAATATGCTTATTGTATTGTTTCCATATTTTTTTTAACTGGAAATTTTCCTAATTATCTTTTACCTAAGATGAAGATGACATGGAAAAAGAGTCCTGTCCTGTATTAGGAGAAGGAGGTGATAGTGGTGGCCTCATCCCTGGAAAATCGCTTGTGTTTGCGACCATGGAGCTATTGATGTTCATTTTAGTACGGCATATGCCACATCTGAGTACCAAGATGTCAGACTCTCCAAGTCACATAGCCACTAAAACTCGACTGTCAGAAGAAAGTGCTCGTTTGGTGGCAGCCACGGTCTCTATTCTCTCTGATTTACCGTCCCTTTGTTCACCTGCCGGTACAGTATTGATTAGTATTTGGAAATGCATTATAATACAGTAGACAAAGATGAACTTGTCTTGGACTTAAACAATTTTAATTTATTTTTCTTTTAAATCTTAAGTGTGAAATGACAGGTTGGTCTTTTTCAAGATTTTGTTTACCATTAAGATTAAAGATTGTAAAGATTAAAGATTGAAAAAACCAAAAACCTAAAATGGTCTTTCAGATATGTTTCAAACAAGACATAGAATTGCAAACTTGGGGAAGACACTGAATATCAGCACGTATACATAATTTGGAATTATAAATTTTTTATTTTCTAATCTGGTTACCATTCATGAGCAACACTGAGTAAAAAGTGTCAGAGGAGAGTGACAACCAACTCTAAGGAGTATCTGACACTTTTTCTTCCTTGTGTACTATTTTTTAGCCATATGGGGTTTGAATTCAGGGCCTCATGCTTGCTGGGCAAGCACTCTGCCACCTGAGCCGCTCCACCAGCCCTCTAAGGAGTTAGCCTGCAGACTCACTGTCTGCACATAACAAATAACTGTTGTGTGGAAGTAGACTTTCCCTCTGTTTTATCTGGTAGGTAAAGATGTATCAGTAGGTATACAGATAAATTTCAGTCCAACATAAGGGAGACCTTTCGAACTCTTAGCGTTACCCTACATGTGTGAAAGTGATGACTTATCTGTAATTGGAGCTTCGTAAACAGGCTACAATGGATGCAGGTGAGGGTAGTGAAGGGATTCATTCCTTAAGTGGATAGTTGAATTGATGACCTTAAAGTTCTTTCAGCTACAAATTTTAGCATCCTTTCATTTCTGATTTACTTACTCCAATTAGTCTTTTCATTCTCCTGCCTTAATTGGCTGACTGTATTACCCTGAAGTTTGGTTACATGTCTTAGAATTGCTGTAAGATTCACCAAGTTACTCAGATGCTTTTCAAGTCTATGGTAGTGTTTTCATTTTGTTTTTGTTTTTGTTTTTGTCTTTTCGTATTTTCATTATGAGAGGCATAAAATATTAAATAGATAAAGTACTACCAAAAGTAATAAAAATAAGGCTAGCTTGTGAAAAGAAAGAAATGTCAATTCTGTCTTCTTTAAAATGTGACATTTATGTTCTTTTTCAATATTGAATTATAGTGATAGAAAGTAGTGAATTTTGTGTAAAAACAAGGAAAATAAGTAATATTAAATCACAGTCTGCCAGGTATGGTTGTATGTGTCTGTGTATTAGCTATTCTGCAGGCTGAGGATTGCTTGAGCCCAGGAATTTGGGGCTGATTTAGGTACCATACAAGAACCTGTGTGAGGCAGGCACAATCAATTGTAAAAAATGTAAGCAATGGATATTTATATGGGAACCAAAATAGCTGTGCAGTAATCTGATTTGTTTTTATTTCAGGATGTATGACAGTCCTGCCCACAATTCTGTTCTTAATTGCAAGAATATTAAAAGACACAGCAATAAAGTCTGCAGATAATCAGGTTCCTCCACCAGTCAGTGCAGCTCTTCAGGGGATTAAAAGTATTGTGACACTTTCTATGGCCAAAAATGAGGAAACTCAGAAACAATGGACAGCTCTAATCCGTAGCACTCTTGCATGTATCCTTGAATATTCTCAACCAGGTAACCTGTTATACTTTTAAAAGCTTTAATGTATTAAGATACCTGTTCCCTAATACATTGATTATTTGAATAAACCTTGTCAGAAAACTGATACACATATATATATATATATATATATATATATATATGTGTGTGTGTGTGTGTGTGTGTGTGTGTGTGTTATATATGTTTTGTTCAATAAAAATAATAAAGTAGGAAAGAAGTTAAAATACCTATCATTATCCCACCATACCTCCAAATGGAACCACAATCCTGATATTAAAATATTTTATTCTAGAACTGTCCATGTAAATAGACAGTTTATTTCCTATATTAATATGCATCAGTCATATTAATAATATGTATCCACTAATATGTATATGTATTACAGTGTTATTTATCATGAGGTAATTAACCATGAGCGACATACAGTATTTTTATTTTTCAATTTATGTAAGTAATATAACATCTCATTCTACCTTTGTTCCCTCACTCAGTTATTTTAGGTTTATTAATGTGGGTGTGTAAAACACATTCACTCTTTTAAACTCTTACGTAGCTTTTAATCACATCTTTATTAATTATTATTCATTCTCCTGTCAGTGGATATTTTTGCTGTATCTAATTTTTCCCAATTAAAAACATTGCTTCAGTGAACATCCTTATAAATTCCTCATACATGTGTGCTGTGAGAAATTTTTTAGGGAATACACCAATAAATGGAATTGATGGTATATTTTATTTTATTATTACTTTTTGGTGGGACAGGGTTTGAACTCAGGGCTTTGCACTTGCTTTACCACTTGAGCCATACCTCCAGTCCATTTTTCTCTGTTTGTTTTGAAGATGGAAACTCTTGAACTGCTTGCCCTGGCTGGCCTCATATCATGATCCTCCTGATCTCAGCCTCTGAAGTAGCTAGGATTACAGGCATGAGCCACCAGCACTTGGCAATATTTTGCTTCTTAATATAGATTTTAACAAACTAAAGAAACATTAAGTACCATACTTATACACATATATGGAGATTGATAGATGGGCTGTTAAGTAGGAATAACGAAAAGAAATTGTTTAAAAATACAAATATTACTTTAATTTTGTTGGGGGGATCCAGAATCAATATTCAATTTTAAGGTGAGGTGTTGGTATTTTATCTAACTAGTTCATTCATATAAATTGAATTTAGAGGTCTGGTAATAAAATTATCTAATACTGAGTTTAGAATTGAGTTCTCAGGAGACCTCTCAGTTGTGAAGTATAGGGATCTAGGCTGTGGCAGTATTTGTATAGGATCTGTGTAGTAAGGCATGCAGATCCCTTGCTTAACAAAAAAGTGTTACAATAGAGAATTTCCATTCTGGAAATCCTCTTTCTTATTATAAGAGCTGAGATCTTCCACTGAAAAAATGTGTGTATTTACATGAGAGCACACAAACACACATGTAAATCTCTGTGGATATAATGAATCATCTAAAGATTGCTGCAGCACTTTTTTATTTTTAAAATCTTTGCTTTTGAAACAAATTAAAAATTTATTAAAAGGTACAAGAATAGAATAGTGAAATCCAGTATTCCCTTGTCTTAGATTCACTAGTTCATATTTTGTCACCATGGTTTATTTCTCTGTGTAATCCACACATACATCATCATTGTTAATACCATTATTAATTTTGCCAAAACATTTGTGACTTCATTGAAGTCATCATGACACTTTACTCTTGAACACTTCATGGATATCTTAACAGCAAGGTCCCTTACACAGTCAGAAGAATTATCAAATTTAGGAAGTTTAACATTAATACAATGATACTGTATTATTCTTGTGCAAATTTCAAAAGTTGCCCTAATAATGACCTTCATATAACTTTTTAAAAAATTTAGCTGTCATATTGCTTTAGTCTTCTTTAATTTGGGATAGTTTCTCAGCCTTTATCTTTTATGACATTAATGTTTTTGAAGAGTACAGGTCATCTGTTTTTTAGAATGTTCCTTGATTTAGAATTGTCTCATTTTTCCTCAGTTTAGCTTAAATTTGGCTTATGCATTTTTGGCCAGAATACTACATAAGGAATGTTATCTTTTGCAGAATGTCATATAAGGAGACATTTAAAATTGCTTTTCCCCATTATTAGAAAACTTTAATATCTTTGTTAAAATAATGTCTGCCGTGTTTTTCTACCTCAATGTTGCCATTTTTCCCTTTATAATTAACAAGTGATCTGTAGAGAGATACTTTGAGATTATCTCAGTTGTCTGCTTCCCATCAAACTTTTACACAGTTTTAGCATCCAGTATGCCCAAATCATTTATTATTACCATAGTTTAAAAATCACAATTTTTTAATGTTTATTTTTTTGATTGACACATACAATGCTATAAATGTTGGGGGAAGAATGTTACTGTTCAAGATTGAAATTTGAAATGTTTTAGAAACAGCACATTGCTCTAATTTTTCATTTTCAGAAGATTCTGTGCCTACTCCTGATGAAGTAAGCATGCTAACAGCAATTGCACTCTTCCTGTGGTCTGCTAGTAGTGAAATAATAGGAGTCCAGTCATTACAGAATGGCTGTGTGAACAGATTTAAAAATGCATTAAATTCATGTGACCCATGGGTAAGTTACACTTAAACATTCTACTTTATGAGGAAATTTTCAGATTGATTCATTAAAATATAGTACATATAATAAAAATCTAAGTGTTTGCAGTATGAATTTTAAGTGGAAAAACTGGAAAGACCACTGTGCTTAAGAGCTAGGAGTGACACACATGAATATATATATTCACATATGCAGAAATTCTCTGGTATCTGAAATACTTGATTAGCTCTGGGCTATATAGGTGGAGACTACATGAGTCCATTGTGTTTTTCAGTATTTATTTCAATGATACCAAGGATGTTAAAGGATAAATTTACATCATTAGATGTTTCAATGAACCTATGGAAAGCTCTAGTTTGTCTAGAAAATGTGTTTTAGGCGAGGCCCTGAGTTCAAACCCTAATTACTGACAAAGAAAAAAAAACAGGAAAATGTGTTTTAGTGTTTTACAATATCAAATTCTAAACTAATGATTCTCAAACATGCCGCACATGGGGGAAAACCCGTTTTGGAATATTTCTTGACTTTACCACTAGCTTCTGAACTAGTCTGCAGATTGTGGCCCAGGGATCTGTATTTTTCAAATGTTCTCTAGATATTTTTGATGTCTAGTGAAGTTTAACAATTCATGTTCTACTACAGCACTGAAAAATTTTTATTCCTCCCTTTTTGTCACATATATTGATGAATTTTTCTTCCCTTTTAAAAGAAAAATTATTAATATGAAGTTTTTCTAACCTAAAATAGAGCCAGTGAGACTTTAAATTCTAGGCCTAGGAAACTTAAATTGGTATAACCATTTGTTTCCAGAGAATCAAATGGATTTCAGATATAGAAAACAATGTGAACTTATAGCTTTGTTTCAAATCATTTCTGTATTAGCCTGCCTTAGAGTATTAGGTTGAAGTGGGAGAGACAATTATACGTTAAAGGAAGAATTAAAAACAAATTGGAATTCCTGATTTCTGCCACTGTATACTATAGAAATATATGAGTTATATAAACATGGTGATTATCATAAAAGGAATTTTTATTAATTTCTTTTCAGCTTTATTTAGTTGCTTATTTAAAGTCCTGTTATTCTCCTCCATTTTTCTAAGTCAAAAATGGCATTTGTGTTTTCATCCTGCAGTATCACTTTTTTTCTGTGAATATTAAGATGCAATGTGATTGCAGAGCATATAAGAGCTGTCACACATTTTAATGTTAAAATGATTTTCTTATATAGGTCCAAGCCAAATGTTACCAGCTTCTTCTATCAGTTTTTCAACATTCCAACCGTGCCCTTTCAACTCCCTATATCCATTCATTAGCTCCAATTGTGGTTGAAAAGCTAAAAGCTGTTGAAAGAAACAAACCAGCCAGTAACACAGAACTTTTAGCTGTTCAAGAAGGAATTAAAGTTCTTGAAACATTGGTTGCTCTTGGTGAAGAACAGAACAGTAAGTACTTTCTTATAAAAAGTGATTAGTCCAAAATGAAGATCTCTATCATATATAAATCTTATTTAATATTAGACACAGGTTTTTGCTGCAGTAAGTTTACTAAAGAGCAATTACTGTCTGAAAGTATATTTCCTCATGTTACTAATATAATGTCTTGAATTGATTTATATTTCTTTTTAATGAATAGGAAGTCATATGAATTCCTCCCTCCCTTCCTCCCTTTCTTCCTCCCTCCCTCCCTCCCTCCCTCCCTCTCTCCTTCCTTCCTTCCTTCCTTCCACCCATGTTGTTGTTCATGCTAAACACACATTCTACCCACTGAGTTATACCTCCTGTCCTGCAATAGCTATTCAGAATTCTCTACTACCTTTCCAGTTTCCTGGAAAATTTTCCTGTAATATTTGCAAAAAGCTGAAAAAAGTGTGATAAATTCAAACATTTAAATTTTACTCTTAGGAATTATGTAACTTATATAGAATATAGAGGTAAGTATAAAAAAATGTTGCCATCAAGTTAATATCATATGCTCATTCATTTATTTATTTGTTTGCTGGTATCCTCCTAATGAATGTCATCATGTTCATTAACAGGACACATTTACCTTTTTTTGTTCATTGTGCTGAAGATCAAACGTCTTGCACATATTTGGCAAGCACTGTACTACTGAGCTATACTCCAGCCCTTCCTTTGTTTTTTTTATAGCATTTAGCCTTAGGTTTTAATTTTTTTAAAAAAGCCAACTACTTAGCTTGGCCTTGGTGGCTCACACCTATAATCCTAGCTGCTCAGGAGGCACAAATCAGAAGGATCAAGGTTTGAAGACAACTTGAGGAAATAGTTCAGGAGACCCTATCTCAAAAAAACCCAACACAAAACAGGGCTGGCAGAGTGCCTCAAGTGGTAGAGTACCTGCTTATGAAGCATGAGGCCCTGAATTCAACTCTCAGTACTAACAAAAAAAAAAAGCCAACTGCTTATTCTATCTCTTAAAAGTTTTGGCATAGTACATAACATTTGTAATCTGAATAAAACAGTCCATTAAAAAATTTTAAAAATGATAGTGCTTATTATTGATACATCTCACTAATAATACCACAAATTGGTCTGATTTGAGAGTTGAAATTATAGTGCTTTGATTATTTTGTACTGTTAATTTTTATTTGAAAGGAAGTCATTTATTTTGGGGATATTGCTGGAGCCTACTTGCTATTAAACTACAATTACACAAATAATATGTAAGCAGATTCTTACTATTAAAAATATCAAACAATACATACTCTCAAATCAGACCAATTTTTGTTGTTGTCTTTGTTATTTACAGGAGTCCAGCTACTTGCTCTTTTAGTTCCCACTTTGATCTCTTACCTGCTGGATGAAAATTCTTTTGTCTCAGCAAGTTCAGCTTCCAAAGACCTTCATGAGTTTGCACTCCAGAATTTAATGCATATTGGACCTCTATATCCACATGCTTTCAAGACGGTAATGGGGGCTGCTCCTGAGTTGAAAGTACGTCTAGAAACTGCTGTTCGAGCAAGCCAAGCGAGCAAAGCTAAAGCAGCTGCCAGGCAACCAGCCCCTACCATACATTCTGCACCAACAATTAAGCTAAAAACAAGTTTTTTTTAATGTGTTCTTCTTTACATGTTTTATTTATATTCCATCCTAATTAGTGACAGTGTATTATCCCAGGTTGTGGGTTCTGTTTATTCGTATATCAGTATCCCAATGCTTCCAGGTAGGTTAAGTGAAATAATGTTTGCACCACTTACTGATTTTTAAGGAGTGATTTTTTTAATCATGTGACTGTATTTTCGTTTTTCTCTAATAATGGTTCTCTTTTATTAATTACTTTTTTGTTGTTTTTATTTTTTTTGGTGATAGGGATTAAACCAAGGGCCTTGCTAAGTGAATGAGCTATACCCCTAGGCCCTAATTAATTTTTTAAATATTGAGCCATGATCTTTTAAATTTAAATGCTAAAAACATAATTGTATCATGTAGTTTGGAAGCTTAACGTTACTATCAGGGAAAAATAAGTCAAAATTCAGCATTTGTCATGGAAAAAATTAATTAAAAACAAAGACTTTAAATTTTAAAAGTAACCCAAATAATAGAAAGTCTCTGTTTCATGGTGTATATATTATGAATAAAGTCACATTTTCTAAGCACTTTCCAAAATATCTTTATCTTTCTGATGGATTTTTTTAACTTTCATATTAAATTACTAAGTTATGCTTGTGTATACTTCAGTTGTTAATCAAACAAAAATTCTCATTTAAAGGCCCATTAAAATGTTTCAAATGTGGTATAATGTTCTACATATTTTGATGGCTAAAATTTAGCCTAAGTTATTTTGTAATTAAAAAGTCTCAGGTTCTGACTGTGGTTGGTTTCATTCATCAAATATTTATTGATACCTAGGGTGTGTGAAGCATCAATCTGAATGCTTCAGGACATACAAAAATGAATTAGTCATAATTGTTAGGTATGCCATTCTCTCATGCGATAGGAATTTTACCATGTAGCACAGATAACTGATGGGGGTGAATGTTTGCTACATAGCATTTAGCAAGTTTTAAACACCAGGTTTTACGAGACAGTGTAACATAGACTGTGTCATCAAAAGCAAGTAACTTTTCTGAACATTTCAAAATATATAATTACTTATCACTTGTTACCTGCTACTTACTCTCCTCATACGCATGCCCCTTGGCAGCTCGCACATCCTTGCCTTTCTTCCTCAGTCTTTCAGATACTTCTGAGAAGCACTTTCTCACCCCTATTTTCTAACTGACTTTTATTTCTACAGGGTTGATTTTCATTTCAGACTTGGGTTTTTGTTTTTGTTTTTATTTTTGGTAGAATTCTATTCTCATTCCCTATAGAGTATATAAAATTCAGGATAGTGCTGCCTTCACCACAGTCATTGAACGTTGTCGTCACTCCAGAAAGAAAACCATATCCTTTACTAGTTGTCTCACTGTGTCCTCATCTGCCTCCAGCCAGAGGCTGCCATTAATTTCATTTCTGTCTCTGTAGGTTTTCTACAGTGGATATTATGTTAATGAAATCATATTGTATGTGGTCCTTTGAACTAGATTCTTGACTGAATGTAATGTTGTCAATGTTCAACCATATTTTTGCATGAATCATATCATTCCTTTTTATGGCTAAATAATATTCCATTGAATGTGCACCACATTTTATTTATCCATTCATCAATTGAAAGCCATTCAGGTTGTGTCTACCTTTTTCCTATTATGAAAATGATGCTCTGAATAATATTTGAGCAACATTACGTAAGTTGTAATAGCTCTTCAGTATATACCTAGAAGTGGAATTGCTGACTCAAATAGTAACTGTTTGACTTTTTAAGTAACTGCCAGATTGTCTTCTAATTTATTTATTTTTGCACACATGCATGTATTCACATAACCTCTTTTCACTGTTCTATTTATAAGTATATTTATTTCTGCCTTGGCTATTTTTTACTGTTCTTAGTACCTCCCTGGCTTTCCCATCATTTCCCTCTTTAGGGAAAACTGCCTCATGTAGCAGCAGTGTTCCTCTGCCTGTCTTCCCCTCTCCTTTTCTCTCTTGCATCTTTATACTTTCTGTAAGCGCTTTTAAGCCACTGACCATTTCTAGTTCTCTATGAAAAATCTCACTGAAGATTTATTTTTATTAATTTCTTTCATTGCTTAGCCCATGAGAAATTTTCAACTTGTATAATTATCTTTTTATGAACTTTCAGTATCATGAAGTTCAAAGGAGAAGCTTCATTATAGCCAGTAGATTCTGAAGGATAATCTGAGCAGTACTAATAGGATAAGAAACAAAGTATCTTCTGTTTGCTTTCTAAGTTCTCATTAATCAATTCTATACATTTGAGTTCTCAATTTAACTGAGAAAAATAAACCCTGAAGTCAGGTGTTCCTGTTCTTCATAGGTTCTAAGGACTAGGGATAAAACCTTGGATGAGCTAACCCTTTGGGTCTTCAGTTTTCTCATCTGTGAACTAAAAGGAAAATTTAATAGATATTCTCTCTGTGATCTTTTACATATCTAAAAGTACATTTGTCTGTATATTTATCCACTTATTTTTTATCAAGAGTGAATCATTAGCCAATCCTTTAATGTAGTATTATAGCATAGTATATTATTGAGTATGGTAAGTAGTCTTTACTGTAGATAAAATTGCTATCTCAGTATGACAGTATAAAATACAGTAAATATTACAGTGCAGGCACAGAGGTTAAAATATTGGAAGCCAGGTGCAGTGGCTCACGCTTGTGTAATTCCAGCTATTCTGGACGTGGAGATTGGAAAGATTGTGGTTTGCAGCCAGCCTGAGTAAAAAGTTGATAAGACACCATTTTGACCAATAAAAGCTGGGCATGGTGGCATGCACCTATCATGCCTGGGAAGTGTAATAGGAGGATCCCATTCCAGGAGATCCCTATTTGAAAAATTGCTTAAGGCAAAAAGGGCTGGAGGTGTAACTCAGGTGATAGAGCACCTACTTAGCAAGCATGAGGCCCTGAATGCAAACCCCAGTACCACAAAAAAAAAAAAAAAAAAAAACCCTGACTCAATCATTACAAACCCATTTCTAGTTCTTTCACATCTAAATAGTTTATGGGGGCTGGTGGTGTGGCTCAAGCAGTAGAGTAACTGCCTTGCAAGTATGAAGCTGTAAGTTCAAATCCTAGTACCGACCCCCCAAAATAAAAAGTTTATAGAGTTACTACTTACGGAATTTTACTTAAAAAAGAATATCATGTTTTGGGCTGGAGGTGTGGCTCAACTGGCAGAGCGTCTGTCTTACAAGCACAAAACTCCAAGTTCAAACCCCAGTCCCGCCAAAAAAAAAAAAAAAGAAAACCCAAAAAGGCATATCTTAATCATAATTTACAAAAATATCAAGCTAAGTTTTTGGTGCTGGCACTATTGAAAATCATGCATGTTTAAGTGACCAGTGCAACTGTTTTTCTTTTCCTAAGGGAGAATTTGTTCACAGCCTTTGTATCCTATTCACAATTCTGTCTCTTTTTGTCATTGGAACTCACAGGTTTCCACTTCAGGCTTTGTTTCCTCATACATGTATGCTTGTCTTTGCTCTTTCTCTCTTTACTTTCAGTCATGGTCAAAGACTCCATGGAAATTTAATTGGACTAGTTTGGCTTTTATAACTTTTGAATATTGATCTTCTCTTTAAATCTCTTCCTTCTTTCTAACTTCTAGTTACAAAGGAAATACCTTTATTTCATTTGTAAAACAAAATGTACAGTTTTTCTTATACAATGAGTATAAAAGTAGAGTCAGAGTTAAAAAGAAAATCAATTTTATATCTTGTTCTAAACTAGTGAGCTTTAAGCATAAAATTTTAATGAATGCATTAAAATTTTGGGAAAGTTCCCACACCTCACCACCCAGAACAAATTAATGTTTATAGTAAGTCTATTTCTTTTCATAGTTATAATCATCCTATATATTGATGTTGAAGCCTATCTTCTGCATTTATTTTGTAAGAATTTCCCCATATTGTTACTCAAACAATATGGTATGGATTTAATAATGATCATTTTGATGTACCATTATTGACAACTGTTGTCCTTTACTTGGGTACTTTGTTTCTACTTTTTACATTTTAATAAATAATACTGCATTTGGTACTTTAAAAATAAAATATCTGTAGATTATTTCCTTGACATATATTTCCTAGACTCTATAAAAATATGACAGGTTTGAATTTTGGTACAGACTGTTGAATCTTGTTTTGTATTGTAGTTTTTTGTGGTGCTGGAGCTCAAACACAGGGCCTTGTGTGTGCTAGGCAAGGTCTCTACTACTGAGCTATATCCCCAACCCCAGATTGTTGAAAACAATATTTTTTTGGAATGAACAGACATGAAAATGGGTCGTTGTTATCCAAATTCAAAAAAAAAGGGCTGAGAGATCCCTGAAATTGCCATGAATATTTTGATATACTCAAACATTATTTTGCTAAAGGCATTTTAGTTGACTGTATATCATTAAGAAGTTAGTAGGAAAGCTTAGTGGAGTTTGGGCTGTTCTTAGTGAAAGTACAATTGTTGATAATCCTCTTCTGCACACTGAGACCTCCAGGGTGTGTGAATATGGGGTAGGAGAAGGGTTGGAGGATCAGCTTTGGATGCTGGTGTACATCTAAGCCAGGTTAGGTAAAGAAATTGAAGTTAAAAAGGAGCAACGTGAACATTAATTTTCAGTTAGGAGAATGGAATAGCCTATCCAAACCAACATGTTGTTATTTAAAATTAGTTGTTTGCAATTGAACAGAAGAATTTCCTAAGATTTATAAGTGCGAAGCCAGAGTTCAAACCCCAGTCCCACCAAAAAATTTTTTTTTCTAAGAAAGCTATTTTTTTTTAAAGTTTGCCTTATGATAGTGTATTCCTTGATACTGGACATGTACAACAAACTTGAATTTCTATTTCCAAAAGATTTTTGTGATATGATTCACTAATGCTGTCTTTTATTCATCTGCCATAAAAGGCTTACATTCTGCCTGGGAACGGACATAATAAAATGATCACTGATTGTGGTAAGGATTAGGAATGAATGGTATATGGCAGGAAAGAGATAATAGGCAGGGATTCTTAGGGTTGTCAAAAGCCCTCACCTCTCTTCTGCTCTTCAGATTTACATACCTAACCACATACCTGCTGGTTGGCTCAGAGACTCCTCAAACACAGTTAATTTAAAATTAAACTCTTCACCTCCTATCTAAAACGTGCATTCCAGCCTATGATCTTCTAGTAAACGGCTCAACTATCCTGTTGCTTTAAAGCATAGATATTCATATTATCACTGATACTTCCCACTCTCTCCCTCACTATATTTAGTTCATTATCAAGTCTCCCCAATATCTTATCAAATCCCTCCATGTGTCTTTGCTACTATTGTTACTATTGTAGTCCAACTCATCATGCTCATTTGCCTTATAGATGGTTCAATTTACAAGTTTTAAACTTTATTGTGGTGTAAAGTGATATACATTCAGTAGAAACTATACTTCAAATTCCAATCTTTTCCAAGGCTGGCAACATGCCATACAATGCTCTCTCCCCATGTCAGGCAGTGGGAGCAAACCACAGCTCCCAGTCAGACATTCT